GATCATTGATCGCCTGCCTCCTTCATACCCACACTGGGGATGAGCCCACAACCCGGCATGTGCCTGATTGGGAATCGAACCGTGACCTCCTGGTTGATAGGTTGATGCTCAACCACTGAGCCACGCTGGCTGGGCTCACACAGCCATTTTCAAAAGTGGTTTATGCAGAGCTGTGTAATAAAGTGTGTGATAATGTTTCTGAAAAGCTATGTATCTGGGGGAGTGGGAGATGAGATAGGAAAACAGCTAAAAACCCAGTAATTTTTTGGGGGGCAGGGCGGAGGGTAAGAAACATTGAATGAAGTCTCTTTTTAAAACTTTCTAAGTACTCTTTACCATATATGGATTTATATGAGTCATGTACCTTTGTGTCCCCACTATAACAACCTTCCTCCACATATCTACTTCTATCATATTATTAAAACATTATTACATTTATCTGTACTTAATTATTACAAGTCCATCTCTTTCTATAGACAGTGAACCCCTTTAGTCTTGTTCTTTATATTCCCAGCTCCAAACACAGGCCTAGTATCTAAAAGGTTATTTCATAATTGTTTGATTAATGAATGCATACATTAATGAATAGATAAGTAAATAAATAGGATTTTCCAAGTCTTAGCTATTCTTAGTATATGTTATTACATAGATGGAGATTTTTCTTAATGCTTTCAGACATTAGGGGAGAGTTTAAAATCTTTTACTCTCTTACCCCCTCTGACTCAAGAATTCCTAGAGGTCTTTGAGATCCAGAATTCCAGTGTCTGGCTCAGCTCTTCAGCTGGTGTGGGGAAATAGAGCATTGGGAAAAATCTGCTTTGGCCAAAGAATTGTGTCATACACCATTATTTCAGCCTGCAGTCACCCTGGATTTCACAGATCAGTTTGTGCACGCCACACTCACAAAAAAGTAAAAGCCTCAGAAAGACCTTCTAAAACAAATACATGTAAACAAGGGGGGTATTTATCAGGACAATATAGATGTATATTGAAGGTCTTATAGGGTTTAGGGTTTTTTTCTGGGTAAACAAAATATTTACAAATTGCCCAGAATATACAAGTGGCCCAAATAGGTGGTCAATTAGTGAGGAAAATAGAGTAATTCGGAGGGTGATATTGTGTGTGTTTTTTGTGCTGAATGAGAAAAATTCAACACTCAAGGATTCAATAAATAGGAATGATGTGTTGTCTGTTCAATCTCTGAATCAAGCAAAAACTTCAAACCAAAAAGAACCCTGAACAATTAGAAAATCTACTGAGATAAACTTGTTCTTATGCATGTTTTGTTATGCTTGTGTTTTAAATAACACACACAACCCAAATACAAAATGACATCTGCTGAAAAAAGGAAGGAAGGAAGGAAGGAAGGAAGGAAGGAAGGAAGGAAGGAAGGAAGGAAGGAAGGAAGGAAGGAAGGAAAAAGGAAAGTGAGAATGCAAGGACCCTTAGAAAACACCCAAAGGTACAAAGAATATTGTTGCAGGACCTCATAAACTTGAAAGCCATTATGATGCTGCTGCCCTAAGGGAAGAGGTCGCATAGGGTTTTGCAGTTGGACTAACACTGCTGGTGTTACCTTGAAATAAGACTCTCTGAGTCTGAGCTATTTCATTTTATATAATGAGAATAATACATATTTTACAGATTAAGAATTAAAGATGACATATATATAGCTATGTGATATACTTTATAGAGTGTTTATCATAGGTCTTGACTCATAACAAACACACAATACATTTTTACCTTGCGCTATGGCCAAACTTGTCATCACGTCCTAATTATCCACACCAGTGCCTATGGCTGATCCCATTAGGCTCCTCTCCTGGGGCAAGGAGCTGCAACATGACAAATATTTTGCACTTCACTGCTAAAATTTTCTGTAGGCCCCCGTGAAATTATAGATGGCATAAGTATCTGTTAGGAGTGGATGAGGAAGGGAATAAGCATAGGCTCCAGCCTTCTTTGGGTTTTGGGAAGTGCTGTTCCGGGCATAGAGCCCTTGAGCCTTCTTTGTGTGGATGGAGTGAATGGTTCCTACCAACAGACACTTGATTAGTAGGGTACAGAGTAGGTTCACCCTTTGCTGAGACCTAGCTCGTGTGTCAGCAGCGAGCCCTCTTAGGTAATCACCCGGAGAAACATTCCCACCAAGAGCCTCCTCCTCTGGACCTTTGCAAAGTTCTAAGTTATTTTCCCAATGGTCATCCCCATTCCCACTTCCTCTGCCACTTCCGGCAAACAAATCTGAACTCTGCCTCCTTGCTTCAAATAAACAATTAGGTCTGTTTGATTTTCATCATTCGATCAATCACTATCTAATATGTTTTTATTTATGCCTTTGGGTGGGTATTTTAAATGTTTGCCTATCATTTATCTCTATCTGATGTTGTTTATGCATTTTTGTTTGCTCATTACACGCACTCTCCAGTAGAATGTAAGCTCTTGACAGCAGGGATTATGTCTGTCTTATTTACTGCTGTATCTTAGAACCCAACGTGGGAGCAGAAGAAACTCTATGTAGAGACACCAGACATGCAGTAGCCATCTTGATTTGTGAGCACTTGCAGGAATGCATCCCCAAGTAAACAAAGAACAAAGGGCCATGAACCCTTTATATACACAGCCTTAGCACTTCATAGCAGGGACTAGTGGGCCAGCTTTCTCATGGCAAGGATGTATTTGTTGTTCCTTGTCCTTTCTCTTTCCTCTCTTCCAAACCGTCAGCCTGTCTCCTGAGTGTCATGTAGCTCTTTCCCCTAGCCGGCCACACCCCCTTTGCAAAAGTAATTATGAACATCTTACCTCCTTCATACATCTGGAACACACCAAAAGGTACTGATTGCCAGTACATAAGGCTACCTGCAAGTCTGCCATATCTCCAGTTGCTATGTTTTTCAGGCTATCTATAATATTTAGTGCCATGCAGTCTTTCTTATGTACTCTCTTTCTCCAAGCAAGTTGCCATCCTTGCCCGACTACACTAACGCGCGTTTAGGTTACGTTTCTTCCCAGGATGGAGGACATGAGCTGAGCTCTGCCAGATTCTTTTCTGTAAAGGATGACCTTGACAGGTCCTGCAGAAAGTGGCCTCTTCAGTCCTAGGTGCTTCACGTCAGCTGTGCCTGTTCACAAAGTAAGCCTTCATGCCATGGACGCTGGTACTTGTCAAGCACTGTTGCCTAGGGAAAAGACAGTACTTTCACCACCACCGTGAGTCAGAAAATGGAAGGTGGGCCTGTAAGTGAGGTGGCATATGCTGAGGGCAGAAACCAATTTCCCTGGAACTGGAACACCTGCCTCGTTTAAGACTACCACTTGACACATGGTTTCACAAGTGCTCGGAAAAAATTTCATTGACTTTACAAAACTCAATTAATTCTTGACTTTCCTCCCTTGGGTAAAACAAAAACGCAGCTACAGTGAAGGCTTGAAAAGCAGATGTTTGCGGGAGGAGAAGTAGAACCAAGGAAAGATCTGTAATGGACAACCAGACACTGATATTCTGGAAACAGTTGCAATATTGCTTCTCCCTCTGGCCAGTCCCCAGATGTCAGCTCCTATCAGAGCCTCCCTTTCTCTCACACACCCTCCCACAGAGTCAGGCCTTGCACACAGTTAAAGATCATAGTCTCAGTGTGCCATGGGCCACCTTTCAAACAGCCAATGAAAAGATATTTTAATAGAGGAAATGAGTCATCTTGGGAGATAGGAAGAAGATGGCTACCCTTTGATAGTAAGAAGATCCTTCACCTACATTGCTGCCTTAATGCACCCACCCATACTCACCTTGGAGTGATTGATGGCCCACTGGGTGCATATTCCTCATATCTAATTAATGATGCCACCCACCCCACCTGCTAGTCACGTTTTGAATTTCACCAGCTTTCCACCACCACCCACTTTCTCTCCTCTACCTTCCCATTCCTCTCTATGGAGGTAAGTTACTAGTTGGCTACTTACTAATCCTTCTGTTAGTGA